AGGCTGCATAGAGTAGGTTTGTTTTTTGAGGAATTCAAAATTCAAACAAAGAGGTATTTGTTGTACTTCCATAGAGGACTTTGTTGAGCAGTCCAGGTATCACCTTTCTTTGCAAAGACGTCTCTCTTTATGTGTCTGTGAGGGAGAGCTGTTGGTGGAGAGAAATGCTCTTTTCTGAGATGCTGAAAGTTTGAAATTTGTCTGACTTCTAACCCTTACAGTTCACACCTGTGTTTTCCCCCTGAAAAACACAGGGGGAAAACTCCTCACCAGGGCCCTCCACTTGCAGGTGGAGGTGTTTTCCCCCTGAAAGTGGAGGTCCCTCCCCAAGGTTTAGAGGAAGATCTAATTGAGCCCATGGGGAGGAAGATGCAGGGAACAAATATTGTTTTTCTGGAGAAGAATAAAAGGGGCTTATATGTAGTTCTATTGTAAATAAATACTGTGTTGTACTGATAAGCAAAACAAATATGTAAATTGTTTTTGTTGAAATATGTTTATCTGGGTTTATCCACAATGACAAATGAATAATTATATGACTAGTAATTTGATAACTGGTGGAAACGTGCCCCAAAAGAGCTGCGCTAAAATGTGGATCTAAAACATCAGTGGGGCCGAATGCAAACACACGCCATACTTTTCAGATTTTCTTCTGTAAAAAATGTTTCACAACCCACACATCATTCTCTTTTAACTTCGCAATTATTCTCTACCTTGTGTTTGCCGAGTTTATTAATGTTACGGGGCTTTTGTGTGAAAGTCATGTTCAGCAGAGCGTCATGCTGCCAAATCCACCTAATGCTGAATCAATGATGGATCCAGCGGCTCGCGGGGGGATTACTCTGAGCCCCCTTCAGCGCTCGGTGCTGACACCAACGCTGACACCAACGCTGACATCTCTATTTCTGTCCCCACAATGGTGGACGCGCCGAGAAGGCTGCCGGTTCGGTTTCTAAGGACGTTTTCTCAAAGTTTTTCTGCAGGTGAAGGTTTATGGTTCCCCTTGTGTACAGACCTTGAAAAAGTGACATATTACTTAAGTTAAGGGTCTTTTATCTCTCTGGGCCACTTTATCTGTGTTTATTGGCATTTGTTGAATTGGAGAACATCCACAGTAAAAACGGCAATAAAGCTGCATAAAGGTAACACCAAAGAGGAGGAAAACATGTTATGCAGTCTTTCTGAGAAAGCATGGGAAGTGCAGAATTTATCACCCTGCTCCTGAACAGCTTTGATCCATATCAACTACATTATATACCAACTCGATACGTTATCAACTCGTCCCATCTCTGGATTGTATAAGGGTTTGCAGTCCCGTTCAGTCTTGTTTTATCTGCGTAGACCAGTTGAGACGTTGGATCCGCTTAGGTTTTGTGGTTGGAGATTTGGCCTCAGCTGAACGGAGCGGAATGAAATCTCGTGAGGCGCAGTTGTGCGATCCTTCACCTTTTGCTTCGGTCCCGGCCGCACGTGGATGTGTTGCTTTCGTAACTGGACTCGCCGCCCTCCCTCGCGTGATGTTTTTACTGTCGGTGTGCTGGGTTTGGTCTCTGAGCTCGACCTTTCATAAACGGGAGTCTTAACCGATGAGCTGAGACGTATTTTCCTCACTGTGTGATGATGTTTGTGTATTTAGTGTGCTGGGGGAAAAAAATCCATTGTTTATTGCATGGTTATTGCCTGTTGCCATAGTAATCTGCTGCTGGCTGGGTTGGATGTTATCGTTTCTTCGGTGTCTCTATGTTTGGAGTTGTTCAGGTGTTTTCCCACGACAAATCACAACTGTTGAGAAAATTTTTTTATATTTTTAGTTTCTGTTACCATTTGCCTGATTTTCATTGGCTGGATTGGACAGACTTTGTTCCCCTTAATGAATAAAATCCTCCTTTGAAATTGCATTTTGTATTCACTCCAGTTATGTTTGCCTCATATTAAAATTGAATTGATCATCTGAAATGGAGGTGTGACAGTGAATAGTAAAACAAAAGTAGTTTTTAAAACACTGGAAGAACTTTTTTCAGCTGGGAGGAGAGCACTTTTCTTTTATCTCAAAATAAGAGAATAAAATGAACTTAAATTACACAAAAATTGAGGTTTAACTTAGAAAAATACTTGTTTAACAACAATAAAGCCTGAATTGAATTGAATATATTATCTGTTAAATATATATCAAATTTAAAACAAAACAGTCACTCCTAGTTAGACACTTCATTGTAGGACCTTCAAATCTGTATTTTTTAATTTTTTACCAATTCCATTATATTATTTCCAAAAATAAACTTTTCCCACATCTTTCTGTTTCATCCCTGCTCTTTCAAAGCAGATACTATGTAATACTCAAAAGGTAAACATATTTCTGCCGTCAGTGGTGACTTGTTTGGCCGCTGGGTCAACGGATGACTAAACCTGCCGTTGTCTTCCTCACTCTGATAACAGGGCATCCTGGCCTGAAGCTGCTTCTCCCATAGAGGAATGTCACAAGACACCGACTGACCAGCGGTGTGCTTCCACTTATTTTTTGAAAAAGCTGAAAACTGACATCTGTCCATAAGTTGCACAGCAGATTCCCATGAGACGGATCATTTCATTGAGTGGCTGCAGCTCTCTGACTGCTGACGATACGTTATTTAACTTCGAGAGTTTGACATGTAAGGAAGTGTCAAACGAGTCAATATTTTTTCTTGGTATCCTGGTACAAATGCAGATGCGACTGTCATTAATATGTTGCTCTGCAACTTTATTCATGCCCTTAACTTTCTGTATTTGTTTCACATTTTAAACATAAGCTTCTGTGGGATTTATTGTGATTTTACATGAAACACGAACACAAAGTAGCAAATAGCTGAAGTGGGAGGAAAAGTGTGGCATATTCCTATATAAAAATCTGAAATGTGTGGCATGCATTTTTATTTAGCCTTCCTAACAAAATACTAAGCTGATACGTGGATTGGTTGCTGACTGCTCTTCCTGGTTTGGTCCAGCTCTATTGGATGGACTGCGTCTGATAATCAATATTTAAGTTTCCACAATTGTCATTGGTTTGTAATCTGACCTTTGATTTGTCCTGCTGGAAGATGAACTTCTCCCTCCCTGACATCTCTCCCATGTGGGATGTGGTTAAGGCGATGTACGGTGTTAGTTGAAACATTTGAAAGACTTTGTGGGCCCCCATCATGGCAGCAAATTGAAATATTCTTTCGATTTGCCACTGTTCCATAATTCGTTTTCTCTTGTCCATAATTTGTTCCCTGTCCAGAATGAAGAGATGTTTAAATCTCAGGATGATGCTATATAACTTAAATGATGCCACAAACAGTTTAATTGCACACGTTGTAAATGGAAAAATGTGCTTCCTTGTAGTTCAGATTTACCTTGTGTGTTTTGCAGTGTGAGCATTTTTACCGGGTATCGCATGTCTTGCATCGATGTGCCAGTAGCTCTACAGCATTTTCTCCACTCAAACCTTTGAACTCTAGATGTTTAAGGTTTATGCAGGAAAGACGACAAGCAGCTTAATCGCAAACCTTTGAACCGTAATGTAAGGTGCAGTATGGTATAATGTTTACTGCTCCTCACATGTCCTGTTGCTTAACCATCAAGACGCAACATGTAACGTCCCAGCGGACCCACATGCGTTACACAAGTGGCTCTTGCAGCTCATGGTAAAGGTCATCCCGCATGTCAGCCTGCACTCTGCAGAGGCAGGTCTGAATCGCTGCTTTTATCCCTGCTGCAAACATCCCTCTTAAGGTGGTTAGGACGTCTGAGTGAATGCCGCCGCCCCCCGTGGCGAGCCGGCCGGCCGACCCGTTGCATGTCAACGCCGCTGCCATGTGGATTTTGAGCTGCTGGAACGGGTTGCTCTCGGACTTGGTCAATAATCCGTTTCTGTCCAACTTTTCATCATTGAGGCAGCAGTTAGGAAATGTGGAGTCGTCCGTTTACAAGGCGTCAGCGCCACCTGGTGGCGGTAGTCCGTCCGTTACATCACAGACTTTCATAAGCACAAGTCAGCAGAAAGGAGTGGCAGGAGCTTTGACCTTTCCGAGGAAGCACAATGGATTTCAATGCATAACTATAAAAAGCAAAGCCGCCTCCTCCACCGGGATCATATCACAGAGTCATAGATTGCAACCTAATCAGGATATATTTTTCTGTGAAATGCACATCATCCATTCATGTTCGTTGGTTTAATCTTCCAGAGTCAGTTCAGGCATACAACAAGCTTCTTCTTATTTAAACTACTTCTTTATAAGACTTTAATTTGTGCTTATTTTGTGTTTGGATTCAGGTCTAAAAGTAAATAATCTGATTTATAACAACATCATCCCCACTTTACTGCCCTCCCCTGCATTACAGGACTAATTTTAAAATCTTTTTTTGAGCATTTTCTAAGGTTATTATCTTGTTTGGCTCAGGCTCTAAATATGCAGTCATTTTATATGATTACATTGCATGTCAGTGGTCAGCAACCTTTGCAATCCACAGAGCAAAATGAAGAGTTTCTAGAGCTGCAAGACAAATTATTATTATTTTTTAAATTGACAATTTTATCCAGTTTTCTAAATATGTAACACAGAAGCAGCGATTAAGTAAGGGATGGAGTTTCAAACGGTTTTCTGGCTTTCCTGCTTTAAGGGATCTTCAATTATTTATATTAGGAGCAAAGATGTTGTTACAGGGTGTGTGAGAGAAGAGTCTCTTTTCCAAGGTTTCTTAGAGTCGGCCCAGCTTTTCCAAATTGAGCATGTAGAGGAGACTGAAGGCTTGATCACAGTTAATTCATCATTCAACATTGGTGCAGAGCTACTGTCGAAAGCTTTTATTCATCCGTAAAAATGTTAAATTATCAGTTTAATATGACTTTTTGTGTTCAGTGTTTAGATCATTGTCTTTTTTGTCAGTGCTTCAGTCCAACTTTTAGTTTGTGAAAATAAAGCCTGCAGGATGCTAACAGGAACTCTGACTTCCTCCCCACCTGTCCGTGTGTCTCCCTGTAGGTCATCGCCTGCTTCGGCCTCTCCGTGGTGTCGTGTCGCTACGTGGGATTCTCGGTGGTGGCCTTGCTGGTGGAGATCAACTCGGTGTTCCTCCACCTCCGGCAGATCCTGCGCATGGCCAACATGGCGGCGGGCACGCTCTACCGCGTCAACAGCATCGTCAACCTGGGCACGTACGTAGTTTTCCGCATCAACACGCTGGCTTGGATGACCCGCTGGCTGGTGCTCAACAGGGACAACATTCCCCTGCTGGCCTACACGCTGGGCAGCGTGGGCATGGCCATCATGACCGTCATGAACATCATCCTCTTCTGCCGGCTGCTCAGGAGCGACTTTTTAAAGAGCAGCACCCGGGAGGCCAAGAAGGAGAAGGAGATGTAGAACTGCGCTCCGTTAGGACCTGGTGGCTCGGATCCAGCCCCGTTTGAGAGACGGAGGTCTGTGCTGTAAATGGAAGCGGACCTCCTCTGGCCTCGCTGGAGGAAACTTCTTCCCCTCAGCTGCGGGTTTGGCATTAAAGCTTGTGTGCTTCAACCTCATGAAGAGCGTAAGCCCTGTTAACGTGTTACTGAATGCCTTAACATCCCAACCTGAGCTTCATCTTAAAATGTAGCTGGGGATGAGCACCACCTTTTACACAGATCTTCACACAGCCACTGGGAGCAGAAATGTAAAATATCTTTAGTAACATCATAAATATATCACTTAATTCATCTAGTTTATGCTTTGTATGATTTATGCTGTTGAGGTTTTTTATGTTGCTTTTACCCACTGAGTAGATGAATCAGTAGCGCCCTCTTATGGTTTGACTTTGGCACTGCAGGGCTGAATGTGTTTTCCACCAAATGTCCTCAATTAAAAACCGCCTGCTACCTCAGAACTGGTTGCTAGCTCCCGCTTTGCTGACAGTGTTGATCACTGCTGAAAATCTACAAATGACTTGAATCAAACATGTACGTGCAGCGCCTGCTCTCCACAGGTAAAAATGAAAGGTGTAAAGACCTCAACGGTTTCCTCTCGTTTCTGCTGCGTTTCTCTAATGGTGAGCTTTGACTGGTCCTTGTTGTTTCTCACTCTCAGATATTTTGAGCTTTATTTTTACTCTGAATATGGGCAGGTTTAGTCGAGCACTGATTTTCATGTAATCAAAGAACAGAAATATGCATTTCCCTTTCTTGAATGGCTTTTATTTACCATTTTGAAGAGTAGCTGAGAGAAATGAGCCATTTTTCCATCTTTACACCCCAGAGACAGAGGAAGTCAAGTATTAGATAGGTCCTCAATGATATACATCTCTTTTTATGCCATTCTGGATGTAAAGGTGCAAAATATTAACCATAAATATCTTGAGTAAAATGTGATGCCACATTGATTTAATTAATATTTAATGCTTTATTGTTGTGTGGAGCACAACTTAACTTGGTTTGCAAATCCTCCGGTTTGAATTTTATTTAAAATCTACACAAGTTGTAGAATTATATTTTCATTATTTTGCATTCAGACTACGCATTAAACTAACTAAACTAAACTAAACCGAAGAGCCGAATATTAAAATTACAATTAGATGTGGCGAGTGAACAATAAAGGTTGATATTCATGTGGAAATCAATTAAAATAATCAAGTATTAATTGATTTGTGTCCTTTAAAAACAAAGAAAAAAAGAAAAAAGTCTGGAAAATCAAAACATTTTACGGATTCAAATTCTAGAAGAAAATGAGCTTTTTCCCAAACTGCTCAGGAACCCAGTTTTTATTTTTTGTTAGTTTGTTTTTATGAGTGATTTTTCACTCATATGAATGCATTTATGAATGCATTAAATGAAGGTTGGACTTGTCTCAATTTTCATGTCAGATCAACCCAATGAAACACAAGATGCATTTGATTTAGAAATTTTCACACATCTTTACCAGGGGGGCAGTAAATGCGGAGAGTGCAACGCATCTAACCTTAATCTAGAAGTAGAGCTTCTAGAATAGGAATGATTTCAGGATAAATACTTCAAACAACAATTTAAATTTCTTTCTTGAGCAATAAATCAAATTACTTGACGGTGGATAAGAGCATGGCGCAAGCTAGCCACGTCAACGCTACAGCGTTTGTAATGAAGAAAGAAAAACTGACAGAATAAAAACATTAATGATAGACTTTAACTCTAAAAATTGCTTTGAAAAATTAAGCCAACTTCTATCAGATTTTACATGAAGTGAGTCACTTTCAGTGGTAATCACTTCCAGCAACAGAAATGACTTTATGAAACTTTAATCACTTTATAGGCAAATTAAATGAGAATTTTACCAGAACATTGTGGATTAGAGCATGACACTTTCATAGCTTTTATTTATTTCTTTGAACAATAAGGAATATTCAGGAAAAATTTAGAAGGAATTGTATATTACTGCCCGATGAATTAGCACTGGCAGAAAAACAAACAAGCAAAACTCTGCAGGAATTTTGACTCACTGGTTCCTCCATCACCAGATCTGCTGTTTCCATCTGTAAACACTTGAACCCAGTGAAATAGGAGCAAATATGTGTTCTATGCTGCAAAATACCATTATTAGTAGTTGTTCACATTTGGAGAATTATTGTGCTATTATTTGCAGCGGTGGGTTTCAGTCTGCAGTAGGAGCTTTCAGACAGACGGGAGTGAGTCCCCCCCGTTCTCCACAGACAGGACATTTCTGAACGTCACCTCAGTGACCTCACACAGCCAAGACCACTGCGAGTGTATTTTGTAACATTTTATATACAAGTGCCATACTGCCTTTAATCTGAAGGATGCTGATAAGCCCTAATGGATATATTTCTGAGTTAGAGAACAAACATGTCTGAGATCTGTGAATACAGCGAACTGAGCTGCCTACTCGTCCAACTCTTGTCATTGCATTTTCATTTTATCCTTTAAAAGAATGCTTATTTTATTTTATTTTTTTCCTTCCTGGATCATCAGTGTTTTGTTCAACTGTATATGTTTGTAATATATTTCTACTAATAAGTTATGGATTAAAACTAATTGATGTGGTATGCAAGGTTTCCTGTTGTAAAATGTAAGGTTTATGATGATGCTTTATATATACATATATATATGTGTGTGTGTGTGCATATATATATATATATATATATATATATATATATATATATATATATATATATATATATATATATATATATATGACTGTAACATTGAGCTTTATGTGAGTTCAGATCAAATTTGTGAACATAAGACAAAAAATAAATAAATAAATTTTAATAATCACCAGATTACAAACACAGCAGCTAGAATGAAATGAACTACACATTTAAACTGAGCACTTCAGGTTTCTGCTGAGTAGGAAGTATAAACACGTTTTCAGTGTCACTCCAGGTTTGTTGAGGCTGATCACAACAATCTTATAAAAATGTGGAAAATATTTGCCTATTGATATATATGTATATATATATATAGTTTGTTTGTTTCAGGGCAGCTTTTGTGGTTGTAGTGAAGACGGTTGGTGACATTGAAGTGTGTCTTGTAAAACTGCACTGATACTGTTTGTTTTCTGTGCTTTAATGAGTTGTGACTCAATGAGTTTTATTCTTATTTTCATGACATTAGTCAAAAGGACCCGCCTTCCGGCTCCTTCCTGTTCTCTAGTCACTTACTTTTTTCCCTCTGCTTTGATTTCCAACTCCAGCCAGGCTGTGAGATGATGCTCTGTCTAAAGGTTGAACAGCTGCCATATTACCAAAACAGCCTCATGTTCCTCTTCTCGCACAATAAACCTCACAGCTAATCCACGTCTGAGCTCCATTATTTAAAAACTTGAAGAGATCCATTTTATTTTTCCATAATACGATCTTCTTGATTCACCCATACACTAATTTTTTTTTTTTTTACGGCTTACTCTAAATAGAGCAATGACGATTAATGCTGTGCAGCTTTTCTGTGATTTCTGCCCATTTTCTTTAAAAGGCAAACTCCGGAAAATGGAGGAAATCGAGACCAAGCTCTGAAAGCAACACCTTTCACCTTCAGATCACTCCTAAACTCTGGTGTTTTAACTGTGTAAATATAACAGTTTTATTTTTTCATGTTTTGGCAGATCTTGTTTTGTAATTTCTGTTTATACATAATGTAATTGTTTAACATGACAATAAAGATGAGAGGATAAAAACGTACTTGGCTCTGGTTTCCCAACGTTTGCAGAGGAAACAGGAAGGATGTCGCATCAAGCCAAGGACAGAATCCCAGGTGAAAGGAAATGACCCAATCTCGATATTTCTGAAGCCAGAGTCCCCTGTGAAAATATTTCTCATTAAATGTATCATTTTCCAGTTCCTTGTTATTTTCTCGTTAGTTTTTGTTCTGCACTATGAAAAGCGTGCATGTATTTTCAGAGTTTTGAATCACTGAAAGGCAACACTTACTGATTAAAATCTCACTGAAAGGAGAAAAACAACAACCCAGAAAAATAAAAATGTAACTTCTCTTCTCTTCCTACATTTACTGTGTTTTATGAGGAATGTCAAAAAGTGACGGCAACACTGATTTTGATCATGCATCATTTCTTTTGTGCATGTTATACTTTTTTTTTTAAATTATAAAAATCACAAAGACAAACAACAAAAACTTACACATTTCTCAAATTTTTCACCTCTTAAATTTCAGCTTATGTCATTTAATTATTTTTATAACAAGACAAATAACTGAAGAATAAGTTGGTTATTCTCAACCCCATGTGCTCCTAGATTTATAGTGCGTATACAAATATATTTGACTAAAGCTGAAAACCATTAAATATTTAAGGTATAAACACTTTTAAAACAGTTTTTTTTTCTGCTTCACTTTAATTCTAAAGTGATATCTTATTTTACCGATGTTTTATTTGGCTTACTTCAATTGTTTTCTTCTAGAATTGATTTCTCAGTTCCTTGCAAGCCTTTAATTAATCAGCAGACCTTCAACTCACACCTGCAACCTGTTAACTAATCAGCTGTTCCATTAAAATCTCACCATCAACTTGCCGCCCACGTTCATTTAGATCCAATCGACACACAAATACCACCACAACTGGCTGTTTTTAAAAAACGACCTAGTTATGCAAACATACTTTCCCCCCAAAAAAAATTAACACAAGAACAAGTCCGTGGACCCGAGAACGATTGACACGTATATCAGCTCTATTTGTGGGAAACTGAAAAAAAAAAATCCTTCCTCTCTCTTAGAAAGTTTTACTGCTCGGATTAGCGGCTCCTTTCTCCTCCAATCAGCTGTCAGCTTCTCTCTCCTCCAATCAGCTGTCAGCTTCTCTCTCCTCCAATCAGCTGTCAGCTTCTCTCTCCTCCAATCAGCTGTCAGCTCCTCTCTCCTCCAATCAGCTGTCAGCTCCTCTCTCCTCCAATCAGCTGGCCCTCTCACTCTGTCGTACGATGCTCGGATCACGGTGGCTTGTTTTCATCGTTCCGTCCAGCGGCTCTGTGCTCCACTCCGCTGGTGAGGAAGGAGCAAAGGAATCCTGGGGAACAACAACAGTATTAATGATGGACCGCGCGCCGCCAGGCTGTCCTGCATCCCATCCGTGATCGATGCTCGTCCCTGCGAGGCTCGGCGCGGACGCTGCGTGGAGGAGGAGGAGGAGCGGCTTTGTCGGAGGAGCGACGGGGCCGCGCAGCCTCTCTCTCCTCTAAATAAACGGCGTCACATGCCGCTTGGAAGGGCTGCATCGCGTCAGCTGAGAGCCGCATCCCGCAGGGTTTGGAGCAGCGCCGGAGAGCAACATGCCCGTTTTCTAACGCGCCTGTGCCATTTTCTCTTGAATCAACCTGGTCAGCCTCACTCTGAAGGTTAGTGAGAGTCTTTCTTGGAGAGCTGCATCCTGCGTCCTCTGCTAATTTGATTCACTAGCAGGGGCGCCCCTAGAAAGTTTCTGAACGAGGGGCCACATGCAGGGGGGGTCACTCACCTCGGTGCACCAAAACTAAAACAATGACAGAATTTCAAGTGTTTGTGTGATGTTGCTGTGCTTTTGTAAAGGGAATGAAAGACACTTAAAATATTGGCTATTGACCAAGAAGATCGAAATGGAAAATGCATGAATAAATAAATACATTTACCATCTTCATATCTTGTCATGTTACTTAAACGCAAACTTCAGTGGGATTTTTTTCCCCATCTAATAAACGATAAGTTTGTGTGGAAATGTCAAGTCTGAAAAATAATATAAATTTTAAATATATATATAATTAAATGTCTTTTAAGAGCAATCAAATGCATGCAGATTTTTAGGAAGATGTGAGTTGAACGTCAGATTAGCTTTAGCTCAAATGAGATAAAAAAAAAAGGTCTAAATTAGCTCATCTTCCTAAGAAACTTTACAAACATCTCAGTGGTGCTGAGCCATTTAATTCAGCCCTCTGGGGTTTTGTCTCTACCAGCTGGGCTTCATCCATGTTGTGTTCAACAAGGCGTTACTGCTGCATGATGCTGCCACCTGAACCAGAAAACCAGTTTCCACAGCTCTGTATGTGTTTTTTTTTTTTTTTTTTTTTTTTTCTTTTTCTTTTTTTTTTTAGTAAATTACAAACTGCACTTTTTTTTCATTGCTTTCTTTCAACAATTGTTTTCTTTTGCTGAAAGGTCAGATTTGTTGAGTGGTTGACTTGCAGATTTTTTTCTGTCAACTGATTTTCCCAACTGAGTTTGTTGACGGCTGCAGCTCCTTTAAAGTTGCCAAGGGACTCTGGCTGAATTCTCAGACAATATTCTGCTTGATTAGTGAACGGTCAAGTCTTGATAGATTAAAAAAACAAAACAAAAACAGTAGGTTGTGTTGACAAAGCATCAAACAACCAGAAGTTTTTTTACCTCACACACCCAAAAAAAAAAAAAAAAAAAAAAGGATTCACCTTTTTCAACCCTAAATGTGCTCAAACATCCAGCTAAAGCAGTTCTCTGGCTTTAATTTCCTAAATTCATGTAAAATACACAAACCCTGGAAGTAAAGTGAGGTCAGTGCCCCCTTGTTTCACCCCTGGTCGTTACTATCTTATTTATAGCATCAGTGTGGCCTTGATTGAACAGATTTCTTTTCTGTTCAGAGTGGCACGTTAGGAAAATCAGCCTCTTATTTTCTCTCCCTCTGTCCCTGCAGACTCCTGCAGCCATGGGTGAGGAAAGCCGCCTCTCTCACCAGATCGGGAGCGTGGAGAGGAGCGTGGCGTTCCTCAGGCAGGAGCACCTAACTCTGCTCCACGGCCTCCGCCTGGAGATCCTCTCCCTGCAGAAACGCTGCTCAGGTGAGGGAGGCATGCGGCTGCTTGTGCAACCCTGACGCTCCACGAATGTCTGTTTGATTCTGAACGTCGCTTTTGCAAGCTGGTGTTTACCTTTTCTGCGTTACGAGCTTGAAAATGTTATAATTTGGAAAGGATTCATGTTTATTTGTATTAAAGAGGATTAGATAAAGATTGAATGTCAATGCATGTCTCTATGTGGCAAATATATTTTTAAAAAAATCTAAGTTTTTCTTTTGGTCGATCATGTAAAAGGAGAATACATTTTTAAAACATTCTGCTTTATAAAAAAATGTAAGTAGGTTGTTGCAGATTATTTATACCCTTTTTACTATTTAATTATCAAACATTTCCCATGATCCTACTGGTATTCTGATGCATTTGGTGATGTGGAAAGGCCTTCTTGGCATCACCCTGATCTTTAGCACAGATTAGATTCAAGTCTGGACTTTGACTGGGCCACCTCGGTAAGCTAATATTGCTTCTAAGGGGAATGGTCACGTTAAACTGTAAATAATTTTTGGCTTTACTATGACGTTACTCCAGTTTTACACTAAGAACTCACCAGATGAAACGATACCTGTGATGTTGCTGTGTTAATGCTGTGGATGTCTTGTAGAGTTCACATCCCAGAGACACAAATATGACGAGAATCAGGTTGTCTTGAATTCAATTTTATTACTTTAGATTTATTGTTTATTCAGATAATTTAAGAAACATGTTTAGGAAGTGCTTTTTTTTTCTTCTTTCCGTAAGGCATATTTAATTTCCTGTGATCTCATCCTCAGGTCAAAGGTTCCCTTTGTTAATCTTCTTTAAGCATCCCTTGTGTTTTCTTATTAGCGACCACAGCTCTTAACTAATCAGGAAGGACTCCACTTACTAATCCTTTCTCCCCAAGACAGGAGTTGACCAGTGAATATAAACTCCTCTGTCTGTTTTTTCTATTTTATTATAATCCATCAAGCTTCTGGCTCTAATAGGAGAAAGCAGCCATTGTGTGACTGGTGTGACCTCATCACCAGGAGTCACATTGAGACAGAGGCAACATGATGACATCATGCTGCTTTCTTGTCGGAGAGGAATGGATTCGTCTTCTACGCAAACATGCTCTCATATCCTTAGCTTTACAGCATTTTTATGGAGATAATATTCATTTTTGGACGTTCCTTGAAATAACTTTTCTTGCTTTTGTCTCCACAAAACACCTTTAATCAAACCAAACTCAGTTTTAACCCTTTTAGAAACTAACACAGCTTTTTGTCCCGCCATGAAAAAAAATGCAACCCACTTGTCTTTTTTTCTTTTTTCTTTTTTTCATTTCCAGACATGCAGTAAAATATGTCTGCAGATATATGGGTAATTGTTTTTTCATTAATCTCGTAGCTCCAGTAATCCATAAAAAAAAAAAAGGATTGTGGTGCACAGACACGGGCAGAGCAGAGGGGGGAAGGGTTGTTGCGTTTACGTGAGGGAGATGGATGGATGCCACGCAGGGTGACCAGCTGTGCTGAAAACGACCCCCTTCATCACTCTGTCGCCTGGCACTCTCACATCTGGCCAACGCAGCTGGACCGGTGACATCACACACCTCCAAGAGACTGAACACTCCCACCGCCCACTGCTTCCTTCTCTCCTCTTTTTCTGCTTTCAAGAGATCAGCCTCTACAGACGCCATGACAGACCGCTTACAGCTTTGGGCGCTCGCTGATGCTCACGTTTCTCTGATTTGTAAAGTGTTTGGACCAACGAGAGAAGGAGGCGAGTTTCCTCAACAGACGGTTTAAGAAACTGCACACCATCAGAGCAGTACCATTAGAGTTATACTTTATATCCCAGTATAATGAGATTTTTTTTAAAAAGCAGCCGTCACGACAAAACTCTTTATACAATTATACAATGAACCCGTTATCACAAGACATTGTGGTTTTCAGACAAACGGGAGATATAAACGTTCCTCAAGAAAAAACAAATCTAAGATCTGGTTTCTCATTGAAATATGTATTTTACTTCAGTGTAGTTGGAGTCTCTTGGAGTATATATGTTTGCAGTACGCCTACAGATACAATAGGTTTTATGAAGGGGATGTTTTCTAATGTCTGCACATGAAATGTGTGTTTTCAGTCAGTTCGCTAATCTGAAGGTTGCTGCAAGGTTGAGCCGAGCATGTTGTGATCATCGGCTGCGTCTCTCTACTGCTGACCTTTTATTGCTTCCTGAATTTTCTCATCAGTATAAATGCCTCTTTGCTGCTGTCTCCTTTAGCCACAAGCTAATTCACTTTTGTTTTAATTAGGTCTTCCCCCCCACCTCCTGCTTTAGAGCACGTTTATTGTCTGTGTCAGTAGGTTTGTCCTTCAGGATATCTTTGCGGCATTCAAAGCAGAATCGATGAAACAGAAAACCTCTAACGCTCAGTTATGGGCTGCTGGAGATAAGGCTGACCTACAAAGCATTGCTGGATGTTGCAATGTGCTGAATGCTCCGTTTTCAGTCCTTCCTCACTATCGGCGTGTTGTTAATGAATCGGCTGCATAAACGCCTTGTGTTGAGGGTGCAGAAGGACAGCAAGCTCTTCAGCAGTCCTTTATTACTATAAAACCAGCTGCTGGAAAGTTTTCTGATGGTATTTCCATCACTTTCCCTTTTGCTGATGTTCTGCCGCTCTGTCTTTGTTCTTCCCAGCTGCAGAGCGGAGGGGGAAAAAAAACACGGTGTGACATGAGGATAAGAGACGGGAAATGGGAAATAAATGCAATGATTCACAAAAGTAAAAAAGAAATTGCGGCAGGCCTGTTACAATAACAAAGTCGCCCGGATGATAAATTGTCCCAGAAGTTATTGCTATAAACGATACTATTGTTCTTTCGAGGCCATTTTCAAGTAGAATACTGGCGGTGGCAAAATAATGCACCAACTCACTCTGAAAGATTAATTCTGACAAGCATTTAACACTGGAACTCTTTAAATATCTAAAATCTAACAACAAAGCAGCAAATAAAATGAGTTCTTAAGTCTCTATGAACAAAATTATCCTTCAAACAAAATGGATGGTTGAGACCAAAGGACCAAACCAAAGACTTTTATGCAATTAATTGGTTTATTGCTTATTGCAACAGGCTTATCCTTATCATCTAGTGAAGACATTCAACAGTTTGGAGGGTTTCTGCCTGAAAATAGACATTTTTAATATAGCTTTTTTTTAAATATTTCCTCTTGCAGGAATATTTCTGTGCGTTCAGACATATCTGAGGATTATGTCTGAACGAGCCAGTTGTTGTCCCCCCGCTGTGTGACAGATTCGCTGGCTGAGCAGATGTCTGACGCTGATTGACGGGCCAGACACAAGCAGCGATCCTCCTACGGCTTTTTTTGCCTCAAGCTGTCTTTGGCCGGAAAACCGGCGACTATTAAATGAGCATTGCAAACAGAGAAGACGGGTGCCTGAAAAAAAATGATAGTAAATATGACCATAATAATCCTATTTTGGTTTTGTCACAGTGATGAAAATGTGTTTGCACCCCTGAAATAATAAATGAGGAGATTTCAAAGGGCTGAAGTGGTTGTTTACAGACCGTGATGCATTCAGGTGAGCTTCAGCGATGTGGGAAATGACAAGCCCCAGAGAAACTATCCCAGACAAGATCTGTTTCCTCGAGGCTTAGAGGATGAGAATGAACTCCACCTTTTTATCAACATTGGTAAATCTCCTGCTCTTAAGAATCAATTACTTGTATTTCCTGCAACTTTCTAGTAAAAAAAAAAAACATCTTTTTAACAGTTTTCCATTCTTGCACTTCCTGTTTTGTGGTCATTTTACTCTCCTTTTTCTACAAATAGCTTCCAATTACCTACTGCATGCTAAACAGTGTAAAAGTACAATCATCTTGCAGAGCAGGCAAAGATTAAAGATCCAGCAATCAAAGATTTTTTTTTTTAACCAATTTTTTTTTAAAGTTTTGACCTACTGATTCTCTTTAGCTATTGTTTTTTTTTTTTTTTTACTTTCTGGATCAAATGAGAAATTAGTCAACTTCCTATATTATAATATCCTATATTAATTTGTACTATAGGTCGTTGACATCACGTCTCATTCTGTGTTTTTTACCTGTAGTAGAGCTTTACCTGAACTCTGGGATGTCTTAAAGGGCCAATGATCCAAACTTACTAATATGTCCAAATTACCCCCATTGGTGCCCTTAATGCCCCTAATACTCTGATTGTTCTGACTCTAATTTATAAGTCTGTCATTTCCAACCATATTATACTTTAAAAAGCCTTTTGGGTCAAAGATGAAGCATCTTAGAGAAAAGGGAGAAGACGAGCCGCCCTCTACTTAGGACTCAACATTTTCTAATACAGCATTAAATTAGGACCTGATAGTTTCAGATGAATCCCTCCATCCTGTTCAAGTGTGCCTTCATGTGTGTTACTATAGAGGCGTGACGAAGACAGAAAACATTCTTCATCACTGAACTACTTGCCTTGTGATGATCCAAACCATCTCAGTAACCTGTTACCTGTTGCTTTTTTTTTAGCTTGTATGAAATGCAGACTTTTGTTGTTAATTGTTTATGGACCAGACTGTGCAGCATCCTCAGCTGTTTTGTTAAATGGTTTGCAGAGCAGAAAGCCAAATGCTGAGCTTGTGGATGGTTTCTGTTTCTTTCTGTTTCCTCTTGAACCCGAGCCACCTGTTTTTTTATTTAAATATGTATTGGTTTCACTGAGGCGCCGCAATCCGTGTAAAGCAACACTACAGACCATTTTTTAATAGATTATGTTGGGACGGCTCCACCAAGTCTGTTCCACGCAGTTTTTGATGATTTTACATTTTGCCTTGAGTAAATTATTCATGAGTTTTCTGAGAATATGCTATAAACTGTAGCTAGCATATGTTCAATGGCGAGTGTAAACCGAATAAATAAAACAGGATGTGATTCGTCTCTGTGACGCCGTTTGTTTGTTTTTTTCTCATTTCAGAGCTGACGAGTGAGAGGGAATCGAATCCTCCAGGCAGGACGCAGATAGGTATGCACTTTCTGAAGGACATGGAAAAGACTGGGATTGATTTAATAATTTTCATATTCTGGATAAGCACAGAAAGGTTCAAATTGAGTTTGGGTAAAATGTTGGTTCCTATCCAAAAGTCAAACCCAAATCCATAAAAAACGGAGGCGCCCATTACAAAAAAAATAAAAATATTTTTATTTATTTTTTATTTTTTGCCTTTCATTAAACCTGAGAAGTCCCACTGAAATTGAAATCTATCTTCACAGGGAAATATGGCAAAGAAGGCAGCACCAACTTTGCTACTTTTAACAACCCAAGATCAAAATCCGTACGATGAGATGACATTTTTCACCTTCTTTGAATTTATGTATAATAATTGGAGCTTGAAGCAGAAACTCAGTTGGGGATGTGGAACAGCAGTTCAGTGATCGTAGATCAAAAGAGAAGTGATGAAACCTAAACACAGACAAATGTTGATTTCAGGGCACATAAAGAGAGAAATAAATCTCTGATCCCATTTAGTCTTTTTATTTGTTTTTATCATCATTTCAAAACTATGCGCGACTTTGCATTTTATTCTATTCTATCAATTTACAAAAAAACGCACTAAAACTTGTTCCTGTAATGAGCGAAGAGTCTTGGATTTTTATTCAACCCTTTCCTCTGAGGGCACAAAGACAGACGAACATTTGCATCTCCAGCTGACCTCCCCTCCCAGAGAAACCTCTGACAAAGCATTCGCAGGCCATCAATGTTTTATTCCACTGGTCAGATGTGCAGTTTTGGTGCGTGAAAAAATTTGCAACAGCTCTGCCAGAGTGTGAGACACACACACAGACACACCTACACACACCCACGATTAAACGGCTTCGCCGCATGACTGATGTCCAGTTGTGGCTGCAGAGACAGGCTCCATTTTGTCACGTGGAATTAGACACAGAGCGGAGGAAGAGGAGTCAAAAGGCGAGTGAGAGCCTGCCTGGAGTAAGAAGCGGGTTTTGGCTTGGTGCATTACTCAGCCATTAGATCCCTTTTTTCCAGAGCAGGTTATCCCCCAATCCATTAATACAGCATGGCCTTACAAATCGATCCATTCCCTTTTTTTCTTCTTCTGCTCCAGTTTCTACTGGAGGTCCCAGTGGGAGTGTCTTCTTACAGACTTTACTCAGATGTAGGGCCTGGAAAAGAGAGAGGAAGAAGTGGGAGGAGAGGGATGAGGAGTTGGGACGCGGTCGGTGACAGACGTGGAGGAGGGGAGGATAAAGATGGGCAGATAGCGTTGCAGCCATGATAAAAAAGAAAGCACGCCATCTCTAATTTCTAGGGATTTAGGTATCAAGTTATATCAAAAACGATCTGGTCTTCAACTAATATTTTGATCTAATTTAGTTTACTGATTTATTTCAAGCCATTTAGGGGGAAAAAATGCATATTGCACCCTTGAAAAAAGAAATAAAAAATGTTTGCATCCACATATTCACGAATATTTACAATAACTATACGTACAGTAAGGACAAGATATTGTCTGAGTCATCCCTGTTCATTTTTGCCATAAAACTGTATTTAGTTTAAAAATAAGTAAGAAGAAGATTGTGTGGATGCCACTCACTAATTTGAGACTTTGTAATAATCCCAACAGATTACTGCTGATTCATCTGCATCGTTAGGAAAACATCAAATGCACTTAATTATTTAACAGCAGACATTGTTGTTTTGGAGCATGATTCATCAAAATTATCTACCAAAACTAAGTGTTTTGTATTCTACATATTATCAACATTAAAGCAGGGAGGTGGTGGTGTGATGATGTGGAGCTGCTCTGTTGCTTTTATCAGTTCCTTCTGCTGCAATGCAGTGCGTCACCACATGGTGGCACCACTTGCCTTATTATGAGCAGTAGGTCATCCTTTTATTATTAGCCTGTTTATTTTTGTGTGCTCTTTACTAACATACAGTAAAGTTGTCACTTAGTTGTTTTATTAATTTTGTTTTTTACTTCAGCTGAATAAATACTTGTAGGAATCAGGTGGACCAGTCATCCTGTCATGTGGAGGGACTGCAGTAGAAGTTGTTGGACAACAAATCAAAATCAATACAAGGCTGTCATGAATTAATAATTTCCCTATTATGTTTGGTTTCTGACATGGGGGAAAGTATCCAACAGGAAGGATTAGACATCGTCTGCAACAATCAGAATATGTGTGAGAGAAATCAAGCGTCCATGTGAACACGTCCGGTGGTGGCAGCATTGTCCTGTGGGTATTTTTATTTTCAGCAGAAACGAGGAAGCTGCTCAGATTCGACGGGAAGTTGAATGAATACAGCAAAACGTTTGAGACCGGCAGGGAGGTTCACCTCCCACCTGGACAACAACCCTGAATGATATTGCCCAAGTTACAGTCGACTGGCTTAAATCAAACCAGATTTAAGTACTAGAATGGCCTACTCAAAGTCTAGATCTAAATCCAAGGCAGGTTGAGGGAAAAAGGAGAAGTAAACACCAACAGGGGAGAAGGGAAACACAAATCTAACTGCAACGAAGAATAACTAAACCAAGACATGAATAAACATGAAGTAGCTGAAATGACTAGAAGAGAAGAGTTGTAAAGCAAGACAGAAAAAAGAATGAATAACAAATACCAAATGACCAAAACCACAAACAACCCATAATCCTGACAGACACAGGTTCTCAAATGTATTAAGGTTTTCACTAATACACTTAGACCTAAAACTCTTGAATGTAGCTCAGGCTGCTCATATTACTGAGTCATCTTACCAGAGTGCCCCATGTTATCTGCATCCAACACATGACCAATCGCTATCTTTAAACTGAACCTCTTCTGGCTTTTTATTCCTCCACTAATTTCTTTTGCTTTGCCACTTTTCCATAAGTTGTAGACAGTAGTTTCCCGGTCCTGCCCTTGAGTTTATCTAAGCATATAAGGGTGAAAGGGCCCTATTTATGCACTAAACAAACATATTTGCTCTGCTTCTGTGACAGAATTACTGGAGGAAGAGGAGATGCTGGAGGCCCGGTGCAAGGAGCTGGAAACGCGTCTGGACGAGCAGGAGTACACTCTGGGAGAGCTCCGGAAGGAGCTGGGTCACAAAGGAGCGCTGGTGGGAGCCCTCAGAGCCAATCTCAAGGAAAAGGAGCGTCACTTCCTGGAGGAACTGAAGCGGCGCAGCCACTGTTCCACCGTCCTGAACACAGAGCTTCAGAAGCAGACGGAGGCGGCAGCGTACCTCTCCTTCCAGCTGCACGCTGCCAAGCAGAAGCTGCACCACCAGAGGATGCAGCAGAGGCAGGGACTCCTGGCCAGAGCCGGCGGCCAGGTGGTCCAGCTCGGAGCCGAGCAGAACTCCCCCCTCGCCGGAGCCTCCCCGTCCTCTCCTGTGGTCAAACCCAAGCGTAAGAACATCAGGGTGTCTTCCAGAGTGGAGCGCTCTCGGGAGTGCGTCCCCATAGAGAAGGTGCTGGGCCCCGCGGAGCCCACCGCCATGCCGGACCCAGCGCTGTTCCTGCAGCCTCGCAGGCACAGAGCACGCTCCAGACACACTGTGGCACAAAGACAGCCGCCTCTGGGCCTGGAGAGGGACGACCAGGAGGAAGGAGGCGGGGAGGGAGCAGCCCGACTGATGTCTTCAGCAGCAGCGCCCCCTGCTGCTCAGACCAACGCAGATTAGCGACTGAGCATATCTGCTTTTACCTACAGTGCAATCGCTGTTTGCTATCTTCCATCAGACTGTTAAAACTTTTGCTCTGCACCTTGACTGAATTATTACCGAGACTGGTTTTAGCTATTTAATTACTTACACCTACTGCTAATACTTTTCTAATAATCTTTAATATAATCCTAAAAGAACTTGCATAGCAAATGTCAGTGACTGTCGTGACTTAGGTTTACACTCAGATGCTCTGTGGACTGCAGAGCCTTCATTTTAAAGCTTTGATTTGTAAAGACGGAGAGTTTGACCTTGGCCCAGTCAGCTGGGATCTTCCAAGGCCAAATATAAATCAGGCTGCGTGTCCAAGTGTTTGTGTCCTCCGACTGAGTCGCAGCTGAAAATACCTGAGTGGGAGCAGAGCGTGTGCGTGTGTTTCAATCACAGTGAGCAGAACACAGCACCTGGAAAATGACAGTTTGTAATCATTTTAGAAACTGAGGCCTTTTTAGCAGACTACTGCACATTCAGATTTACAACTCTGTTGTCCCAAATACCATTTACTTAAAATAGTTCAGAAGTAAAGTGTTTAAGCTGAAAAACATTCGCATATCCTTGCAACAGTACGTTTCATGTCGGAGGCGAAGGGCATATATCAAATTCTTTTCCACTTTTTCTTCTCAGTTCTGTTCAGGCTTGTAGCTCAGGACACCTGTGTTAAATTTACAAGTCCAAAGTAAGGAAATAAATGCATAAAAAAGTCAAAAAGTATTATATAAAGCAATGTCAACCCAAGATAGAAGCAAATATAGTAAAAATTTCAGGTGTTCAAGTGGAGATTAATGTCTATTTTTTCATAAAGGAGGAAGACAAATGTTTAAATAATGAGCTCAACAGTCTAAAACACAGCAGAAGTGAATGGAAACAGCTGAAAGTCTCACTTTTCTCCAAAGAATCGCCTCATGTTTATCAACAGGCTAGTCTGGAGACTCTTTCTGCTGCTCCTCTCAAATATCTGGAGTTTTCTCTCAACATAGAAACTCATCTGAGTTTCAAAAGAATCACTTCAAACTTCTCAGGCGGTGTTCAAAGGGCTGGTAAAATGCTAACATAGAATCCGTCATCAATTTGGCTCAGACACTGGGGAAAAAAAGGAGCTGCGGTTTCAGATTGTTTTTTTTTTTTTTTTGTACCAGCATTAAGACGGATAAAAAGTTAAAACCACTGAATTTCCTGTATCTCGTATTATTTTGAAACATATCTATAGCGTGTTAGACTTGCTTTGGGTGAATTGAGTTTTCTTGAGTTTTTCTTCCGGTTTTTCATCCGCAGACAAATAATCCTTTGAAGAAAACGAAACTTTAGAAAACAAGAAGAATCAGATGTAGTACCAATCTATGCAAACATCAACACGCGCCAAAATGTACATTTAAAATAAGAAAAGTTACTCTTCCATCTTTAATAATATTTTTTTTGCTATGGAAGATACTCCAGTGGTCAAGATTAAAAGCTGATCTTGTGCCTCAGTGCCTGTCTTGATGATCTTCAGGGTTTTTCTTTGGGTGAAGACTTTACAGAACAAGGCCACATTCAGGTAACACTCAGCTGTGACTCGTTGGATCGTGAGATTTGGGTCAGTTTTCCCCTTCGCCATATTGCCACGGTCACCCAGACTCAGAGGTGCCCTCCAAGGGATAATAACCATCACATATTTTATGAATATACATTTTTAAAAACAGAACTTTTAAGCATATTTTTGTCATTAATTTTTTGGAGTTCGTCAAGATTGTTTGCAAACCCCTTTGAAAAATTTTGCCCAAAATCCTTGAATTTTGGTATCCATTCACAAATCATTTGGTACCAACGCCCTTAGCTAAAGGTATTTAATTGAATAGGTGTTAAATCATAAAAATATTCGGTAACACTTTATTTGAAGGGGCGTGCATAAGACTTGACATGATATTGTCAAACATGACATATCGGTCATGAACAAGGAGTCTTCATGAATGTTTGTGAATGTTGTCATTTGGAAAATAATGACACTTTTAATGCAAAGTTGGCTATTTTAATGAACTTTTACTGCAAATTGTAATAGAACTTTAAATTAAAATGTCATTAAAAGTCCATTACACTTTTGATGGACATTTAATGCAACTTTTAGTGCAACTTTGCCTTAAAAGTGTCATTATTTACCGAATGACGCGTCACGACAACGGCTGTAAACGTCCATAAAAACTTGTTTGTGTTCATGACGCGTGTTATGTCATGTATGTGACAGCGCCATGTAACGCTTCAAGTAAAGTGTTAAAATATTCAAAGCTAAATTTGATCTTTTTGTGCACGTCTTTGTATTACAGCAAATTTCCATGGACTGTGGTTCTGATTTCCATTTGATCCAGTCAAATAAGAGCAATCCTATGATTATGACCAATAATCTAACAGAAAAAAGTCTGTGCGACCTTTGTTTATATGACTCTGTTGTTCATTGAAGTCATATAAACAAACAGGCGACATGAACAGAACCGCTTTAAATCATTAACCGAACCAAACAACCTGCATGAAACGGCGAAGGGGCGAAGTGACCAGCACCCAAGTCTTCCTCAGGTGCGGTTTGTCTGCTGAGCTGCGACCTCATTTGTTGTTGTGTTGGAGTTTCTTTTGACCTCAGGAGAACAAACAAACAAAAGAGTTTCGTCTTTAAGGAGTCTGTACATTTTAAAGGCTGGTTTACTCGTTTGTGTCTCTTTGCTGTTAGAAATCGTCACAAAGACAGGGAATATATCCAGAAAGACGGGAATCATCTCTGTCTGCAAATGAGACGGTGGTGTTACACCACTAAAATATAAATGAAATTCAAACTTTATTTTTTATGTCTTTTAGGATTTTTTTTTCTTTTCTGCTGACTGTAAGAAGGCAATCTTTAAAAAGTAACTCCTCCTCTGTAACTGCAGCCTTATAGCAGAGGATTTTGTGCACGATGAAATTAGCAGGGCAGGATGGAAACGAGACATTTCTTCTCTCAGTTCGGGATTTATTAATATATATCATTTTACTGTGTGTAATTCTCAGTGTTATGCTCTGAATTGTCTGTATTATTAACATCAAATGTGATTTTGCTGCTGTTCTGATTTGCTTCCTTCCTAAACTCCAAGTTAAACGTTCAGCACGACGTTTCACACATATACAAGGACATGTAAATAGATGATGAATTATTTGTATTTATATTTAAGGTTACATATTCTAAAAAGAGCTAAAGAGGAATTACCTTTATATTTTGTAATAACCTAACCTGAGTTTGGTTTGTAATTTTGTCTGGTAGATTTGTGTTTTCCTTAAGCAAATAGGAATATTATTTTGTCTCTTTATGGACTGTCTTAGGTAAAATGAATTATTTTGTTAACTATCTTAGCCCGTTCTCTGGTTATTATGTTGTTTTCCCACAACAGCTGTTGCACTGCAAATAGAATAAGCGGATGTTAGACTGTTAGTCTCCCTCACTGCAATATTTTTCATCTACATCTTCTAGTTTGGCACAAATTAATTTTTATTTTAATATTCCAGGTGCAGTGACTCATCCAAGCCTGGATTGATCATTTCCAACTTTTCGCAACATATTAAGAGAAATCTCAGCTGACTGAAGGATAAAAAAACTATAATTATTGAAAGATTTACTCGAAGCAGCAACGCCTCTATACTTTCTCCTCGTTTAGGTCTGAAGTAGATTTTTCTGGACTGTATTTATTCACCTCCATCGAGCCTCTTCTTGGACATGTTTTCTTGTTTATTTCTAGCAATAATGCCGTGTGGGACTCGACTGGGCATGAAGAAAGGCGTCCTGGTTTGGCCTGTGGCTGAGCATGAGATGCTGATTACCGCATATACTGTGCTGGCAACCTACAGTGAAACTGTACCAAAAATGGATTAAAATGGGGGACTGCTGAGTGTGCTGATTACTTTGTTGTTGAAAGTTAATCTGAGGCAATTAAAAAGACATTTTGCAAGTGTATTGAAGAATTTTGTCTCATTGTTGCAGTCTTTTTATATTTGGAAGTATCATTAAGGACAATTTAGAATAATACATTAAACATGCAAATAGAACATAATTTTTGTCTTTACCTGATTAAATCAGACATTTCCCATTTAGCTCAATTGGGTAAAATATTTCCTAAAGAGGCAGTGAGAAGAAAATGGCAATGTCTTTTCTCGTGTGTCACTATTTAGTTTTAGCTTTGCATCAAATTATTTCTTCAAAGATTCATACACTATTAGACAAATTTTCACTCTTCAATTAAGGATGTTTTTACGAGCAGCTGGCAAATGTGTAGAAATGTTGAGGATTGTGTGCAGGACTGTCATCTGAAAAAATTTAAGTGATTATAATCCTCACTTCATATTTATTTTAATACTGATGTATAATTTTAAACTAATAAATAATACATTTAGTGAAAGCAGAATCCTGTTATATATTTAACTAAACAAATGTAGAAATTACTTGGAAAGAAAAGTTATGATCTGGATTAGACAGAAACATTTATAGACATGTTGTTGTGTATATTTATTTACTTATGCTAACATCTAATTATATAGATATGCATGCTATTTATTATATAACAAATAAATAGCATGCATATCAGATAAACAAAACGATTTTTTTTTTAATCGCATCATTTCCTTCATAGCGTCTCCGGAAGTCAGTGCTTCCATGCAACACATCAATGTTTTAATCTCTTCGTGGTGACTTTATAATAATTAATATTCATCTGGTGCGAGAATAGCTGTGGGACTTTTTTATTTCGTTGCACCACTTTGCCTCCGCTCGCATGGGTCATTTTGTCGCATGTGGCTTTCCGTAGCGCCACGCTCGGTAGGTGGAGATCATCCACGCAAAGGCAAAGAGGTCAAGAGGAGGGGAGGGAAACCACGTGTGTCGAGCACCATCACCACTATGCACAGCTCCGTCCTTCCTCTGTAGCCTTGTTTTTGTAAGCCGCTCCGGACCGGTTCTGATTCTGCTTTTCGACCACAGCACACTGCTGCGAGCTGCGCGGAGCGGGGGGAGTTTCTGGAGCCACACGCTGACTGCCGACCATGGTGAGCAAGACGGATGACATCCCGGCGTCAGTGCCCGACTGTAACCCGGCGGACCTGCAACGGGACGGAGCCCAGCAGGGCACCGGGACCAGCAAGGGCTGCCCGGAGGAGTCCTGCGGCTGTGGTGAGTCCTGCCCGCTGCAGACCGGCTGAGGTCATCAGGGATGCGGCGACTATAGTGCGTCCTCCGAACCGGTGCAGCCTGACTGTGTTTGGTCACATTTATGATCTTGTGCTTCTTCACTTGTGTGTAAAGTGTAAGAGTAAAGGGTAAATATGTTGTCCATTAGTATCCCACCCTCTTGCTGATACGTGCACTTGCTTATTTAGGCTTTTAAGACGTTGTTCTGTCATTATTTCATTTTAATTAATCTAAATGCATGAGCTGTAGCCTGGTATGGCTTGCAGGTTTATGCTAGCTCGGGCTAGGGCACTTTCCTGACACCTCCTGACCCAAATAGCCGGTTCCTGGTGTCCTGGGTCCAAAACACAAGGCGTTCGACTCCCAGCTGCCTGACTGTAACAAAACCTATCAATGTCCATAAAATGGCCCTGCTGCGCTGCAGTTTATCGCAGTGACTGTCATGCTCTTTCGTCTTGACTCTTATCAAACCATGCTAACTCCAGCAGCTGCAGCTCCACACGGTTAGCTTCCCCGGCTAGCATGCACTCAGCTACTGCTCTGTGCGAGTCTTTTCAGACCGGAGAACCTAAGAGCGTGCGCTAAAAGAGCCAGATATCTATGTTCAGACTCGAGTCGACAGGGCAGCGCATGACGGCGTGGAAGCCAGTTCACCCCGACGCACATGTTCGGTAACAGCGCGTCGACTGAAGGTCACCTTCACGGGAGCCTCTCTCTGCCCACAGACACGCAGAGAGGGCTCGGACACACGCCGACTTCTGAGCCACGTGGGCCGTGTGCTGGCCAGTTTAATGGACGGGCGTGGTCCATTGTTTTAACTTGGTTTAAAGTCGGGTTTTCTGCCGTGACGCCGGCGAGCCGCTCAGCGGCTAGCGGCAACACTCTGACCGGTGTTGTGTCGCAAACAGCGCCGTTGCCGTAAAAAAGACTTTCCTCACAAGAAGCACATTTAAAAGCACTCTTGTAAAAGTAGTTATTACTGATGACGCCTGATGTTTTTATGTACTTTAATTGGTAACAGAACTATAATAAATAGGTATTTTATAATGTTGTATTAAGTTGAGGCTGAAGTTGGTATACGATTCGGCACTGCACTAAAGGACCATTACACTGTTTTTAAGGATTCTGGAGACTGGTTGAAAGATTTGCGACAATTTTTTTCTTTTTTTCCACAGTTTAAAAATTATTTAAAATAGCTTTTTTATGTTTAGAACAGAAATCACTGAAGTCCAGCTTTGGGGACGTTGGAGGATTTAAGTGAGGCTCCAGTTTGCAATAAACATTTTTTTTTAATTTGACCCAAATTTACTCAAATAGTTGGTTTAGAAAAGCCCAGTAGTACTTTTAACTGAATCATATGTTGATTTGAAAGACAGGACCACAAGCATAAATTACATGTATTATTATTAATATTTGCATTTAATTCTGATTGTGACCTGTGTTTTTGGCCAGTGTGGGGAAAAAGTTTGGACACTATTGACATAAACCACTTTTTATATTCCAAACTCTTCATCTCTTTGAGAAACCAAAAGTAATAAGTATTTTGGACAGTTTAACCTCGTTGTAAACAGGTTTCACACAAGTCAAAGCAATTTATCCTTAAATTCTTGATTGTGTTTGGGAAAACACGTTACTTTTGTGTTTCACAATTGCAAACAGACTGCTAGATTTTAAAGCGAAGGTCGCCCACAGTCTTTTGAAATCAGCGTAATGCCCCTTTAACCCAACAACAAATCGGACACCGACTTCAGCGCTGCCGTAGCGGCTGCTGACGACGGCACAGTCGCGCTTTACGGCACAACACCTGGAAGCGGAAGCTGGCTGTCGCAGAAGTCATGGTGCGCGGCGAGAGGAGGAAAGGTTACGCTGAAAACACAGCAAGTGTCGCGTAAAGAGGTGAGTACAGCGGCGGAGGTTGGAAGTCGCTGTCTCCACGGCGGGCGGATGTCGCTGGTCTGAGCTCCGTCAGGTCGCAGGTTGGGAGTTTAAAAGCTGCAGAGCTTCAGCAGACTCTGCAGCGGGTGGCTCAACATGTGGAGAAGACACTGAGTGGATGACAAGGTCCCATCAGCTGCTGCCGCATGAAAGGGATTCAGGACTGGATGATGAGTTGTCAACAAGGAAACTAAAATTTAAAAAAATAAGCATAAGGCAGCACTGTCATTTATGAACTTTTCTTCTTAGTAAGTGATTGGGATTTCCCTTCATCGTTCTAATCATGCAATCATTTATATTTGTGGACAAATGTTTCTTGTTTCTGTCAAATGGCCCTGCAGTTTGTGTTTGTTTGCATGAGACCTTAATCAGATTCATGGCCTAATCATGTGTCAGAGAGGAGTTGTAACAGGAGCAGGCTCTCAGCGGGTGGCACCGCAGACACATTAAGGCGAGGGTCACTTTCAGTGGCTCTAAAGAGCTTAAAGCTCTCGTGAGCGGAAGAGCGGCCTGGTTAATCCAGGAGTCACTGACACCGTTGGCTTCGGTGCAAAAACATCTTTAGTACTTTGTAGACATGACATGATCTAATAACCAGAAAAGCAACAATCATCGACTTCTGCTGAAGTAACTATTAAAACTTACTAACATCTGTAGCAAAAATTAGAATAATCTTGCATATATTAGCCTTTTGTGTTCTTTATAGACCCACAAGTTGGTTAATTAGTCAGGCTATCAGCTCTGGTAGTGACATACTGCTGGTAACTTGCTGACTGTATATTTAGAATAGCGTTGCCTTAATCCAAAGTGTGAATGCTCCTTCTTTCAGCCAGCTGGCTGACAGTGCACATCAACAGGTAATGGAGAGGGAGATCGGTACTTGCTTTTCATTTTGATACCAATACTTTGTGAGAAAGATGAAATCATTCACCAGTCATAAACTTTTAGGCATTTTATATATATACATTTTCCAGAAATGCACATTTCTATATGAAAAAAAAATTTTGGCTGTCTGTCTTTGGGTTTGAGAAGCCACATGGAAATACAAGCTCAATTTGAATTTTTTATTATTTTAACCCCGTTACACTTTACATCAGGGTTTTTTTTTTCACATTTAAAGCAGTCTAAAGCTGTTAAGAATTACTGATGTTATGATTGGAGGAACGTAAGCGTCAGATATTTTTTTTAATGGTTATTAATGATCAAAGTTAGGTTACCAAATCAGACTCCAACTTCAGGGGTGCTTTTTGTTATTTATCAGACATACAAATCACAAGTCCTCATTACTGGAATTGTGTTGACAATTGTTTGATTGTTTAACTAAACAATCAAACAGTTGTTTAATTTACAGGTTAAACACTTTGTACTCAAATGTTGGGGTTCTGAAGTTGAAGGCTGGTTCTGGAACAGTGCATATTGTTGTAGGAGCCTTGCAAATACGTTTCTGTAAACAGAATTACAGAGAGGCCTTGTGGGCAGTTTTTGTTTTCAGGGTTGTCAGGTGGGTTAATTTAGCTCTGGCAGCAGCCATGGTCCCAAAGTCAAGGGAACCGCTGCTGTGAATGAGTGAGTTTGCTGTGAGCCTTCACTTGTTAGTGGAAACATGAGGCTGCTTTCGTCATCACATTGTGTCTTGAGTTAAATCCGTGTTTCATGGATTTCGGTCCTTGACCTCACAGAAGCCCTCCTCAGTCTCAAACTGTTAAATTGTGTGGGATCTGGTCGCCTGATGGCTCGTTGCTCTGGTCCACAGAGCCTCTAAAATGAGACGCGCTATTCTGGGTTTTGGTTTTGAATCGGTGTAATTACGGTGTTCTGCATATCTGCGTGACAAAGAGCTGCACAG